GGGACCGGGAGGACAGACGCGCACAGGGGCCGGGCCACGGCGCCCGCCACCCCACGCGGGGCCACCGCTCCGTCACTGCCCAGTCCGGCGGCGGGGACGTCCGCGGATGCGGGGTTTGCAGAGGCCCCCAGCCCGGGCAGGGTAGCGTTGGGGACCCTGCAGGACACACACGGGGGACTTTAAGTCGGACTGTCCCCGACGGCCCCAGCACATCCTCCACCCCTTAAGGCAGCTGAGCCGAGTGGTTGGACTTGGGGGCTCAGTGTGGGCCCCTCTGCAGGTGGCCCCACCGCTGCTGTGGCCTTTGAGGCAGCCCTTCGGGAAAGGTTCTGTGCCTCGCACGAACCTGACCTGGCTCAGGGCCGGGTTAGGCTGAGCCAAGCTGCTCCTTGGCCCGCACCCCCAGGGCCACGTGCGGGCGGGTCAATAATAGGATGGAGGACACACCGTCCTGAGCTCTGCCCTTTGGCTCAACGAGCCTAAATCCCTTTAAAAAAACATACCGGTGCACAGACTGGAAACTGGAGGATGAAGTAGCAGAGGTTGAAGGGCCACTAGTCCCATCCAGGCCTCACGTGACGTTTGCCGGGCCAGGGCAAGGAGGCCTGCGTCACATGGCTAAGTACTTGAAAGTTAGGAATCCGGCTAACTGCTAAACATGTTTTCTCCTCCCCTGACAAGTAGATCTTCCTAAGACCTGGAAGGCCATGTTTGAATTTACAATCCTCATGCCCCTAGGAGCTCCCCAGAAGCTGTGGAAAGCCAGCTGCTGGCCTGAAGCTTTTATCTTTTCTTCCCACCCTGCCCTCACCCCCTCCCACCTCTCCACCCCTCCTGCTGCTGCTCTGCCAGGGGCTTGGCACCCAGGTCTGCAGGCACCCCATCCAGCGTGCCCATATTCTCTCTGTCCCTTCAGCCCCTGTAGACAGCTGCTCTTGGCACCCCATGGTCCTGGGGGTGCCCACTGCAGAGCCTGGGAATTCCAGGGTCTCGGGTAACTACAGCGGGGTTTGGAAGGGGGTGGTGATTTCCAGGTGGGCACACCCATCATCCCAGTGGGCTCCTTGCTCACCTAGAGGGGCACAGCTGGAAGAAGGTCCTAGCAGGGTGCTCTAAAATGCAGGGCCCAGGGTCCGGCCCGGTGGCGCAAGCGGTTAAGTGCGCGCGCTCTGCTGAGGCGGCCCGGAGCCGGTTGGGATCCCAGGTGGGCACCGACGCACCGCTTGGCAAGCCATGCTGTGGCGGCCTCCCATATAAAGTGGAGGAAGATGGGCATGGATGTTAGCCCAGGGCCAGTCTTCCTCAGCAAAAAGGGAAGGATTGGCAGATGTTAGCTCAGGGCCGATCTTCTTCACACCCACACACAAAATAAAATAAATTAAAATGCAGGGCCCAGGTAGGGGTCCTTCTTGCCCATTTTCAAGGGCTGTTCTGCTTTTGCAAATCTGTCAGAAGCCTGACTTCTGGCTTGGCAGCCGGTTGACAAAAGAAGGCCCGGTTGAGTTCTCTGGAGTTAAACATGAATCAGAAAGGGAGATGATGGAAACAATCTATCATAAATGCTGGGAATCATTTTGTAGGTAGGAAATCCCCAAATCCAGCAATAAAGCAGAACAATGTTGGGTGCTAAGTAGGTGAGCTTGAATAGCTCGGTCATGCTTCGAGTGTCCCTTTTCAAAGCTGTTTCTCAGCAATGCTGCTGTCGTGTAGTGAGGGCCAGCTATGAACTGGGTACTTGGTGGACACTGCATGTTCTTTACCCCCAACCCTTACAACAGTCTGCGACATAGATTATGTTATCCCACTTTATGGTGGAGAAGCAAGTTCAGAGAGGTGACAGTCTGTTCAAGGCCACACAGCCAGTAGGTGGGAATGCCAGGAGTCAGAGAAGGGTCCCTCTGCCTCCAACCTGCCTCCCACTCTGCTGTGCCAACTCAGTGTACTCACCACGTAGGTTTCAAAGAGATGGCAAAAAAACATGATGAGATGAAAAATCACGGGCGTTGGTAGAATTGGCTGTGAAAAATAGAAATGCTCTTTTTGGTCATTAATACAGTCAGCAGATACCCATTGAGTGTCTCCTCTGTGAACATGGTGATGCCTTGCCTCCTGGATCTTCTGGTAATTTCCAATAATAGGAGATCTTCAGACAGCTCATCAGGGCATCTACAGCGCCCATCTCTTGCCTTGTAAATGGAAACGTTCCACTTTTATCACATGCCCTGGCGGTGACCTCACTCTCTAAGAGATTCCATCTAACGAGTGTGCTGTTGGTGAAGCTCTAGGTGCAAGGCATCACGGGTTTTGAAGCAAGAGTGCCATTAGGAGAATTCAGACTGGTGACATTTTTTGGAGGTATTATCAACCCGGTGTGATGACCAGTTGAATAAGGAAGAGAGAGGAATAGAGGATGGCTTTCAGTGTCTGGCTTGGGCATCTGAGTGACAGCACTGAAATAAAGGAGAGAGGAGGGGGCAAGTTTGGGAGCTTTGGGAGCTGGGGGGGTGCCCAAGGGACACGTCAGTGGAGAAGCCCGGGAGGCATTTGAATGAACTGGCAGGGCTGGAGCTCAGGAGAGAGGATTGACGTAGGGCAAAGATTGCAAGTCATCAGCACAGAGGTAGTAGTTGACGCCAAGGCCAAGGCGAAGCTACCGAGGCAGAGTGTATGGAACAAGAAGAGGGCAAAAGAGGGAGCCCCGAGGATCGCTGGCATTAGGGCTTAGCAGAAGGCTAGGAGAAGTCGAGAAGGACCGGCCAAACAAGTACCAAATAACCGGGAGAGCAGGAATATGCTTCCAGAAGGACAGCCTGATCCAAGTGGCCACTGGATTTGGTTCTGGCAAATAGGAGATGGTGAGGACAGTTTTAGAGGAGTGGCAGGAACAGAAGCCTGGTGACACCGCGTTGAAAAGTGAACTCAGCAATCTAGAACACTCTGACAGGGGGTGTAATGCACAAGCCAAAGGATTAAGGGGACACATCTGAACAGACACTGCCATGCAGCAATGGCATTTGGGGGCTGGCATCTTTTTACCCAATTTTGCCTGAGGCCTTAGAATTTAATTTAAGCATTTGTCACGGATGGGATGGCAGCTTTTTAGGTTTGCTACCACAAGCACACTCATTATTTTACTGGAAAGATTATCAGCAGTTCTCTAACCACCACTCCCAAAATACAGGTTTCAAAGTCTATGAGCATGTCAGCTACAAGTCGTTTTTGTACTTAGGAGAGAACGTGTTCGTGAGAAACAGAACCCTGAATATCACAGCCACCTGAAGAAGGCAGCAAACCTGAGATGGTATTCCAAAGAAGATGGTTATTCTTATTACCCTGAAATAAATTCAGTCATCAAAGTGGTTTTCCAGAAAACAGCAATACAGGAGACTATTTATGGAGGATCCTAGTTGACACATAGCGGTAGGACTATCAGATTCAAAAAAGAATAAGGAAGGCAGAAAACATGTGGGTGGAGACTGATGGGTAACAGATATAAAATCTATAACAATAATCTGATGTCTGGCTTGCTGCCCGTTTCTTATAACAGCAAAAATAAGACATTTCTGTGAAGAGACAGTGAGATGACAATTCAGGTTATTTTAATCAGCAGGTGGGGAACCTGAAAATAGTGAGCAGGCCCTGTGTGAGATGACACACACGGTTCAGTCCTGTTCTTCACATATCCCATTCTCATGCAGCATGAATTATTTTCCAGAATACAGGATGCCTCTGTAAAAAAAAGATGGGAAAATGCTGCTGTCTACGCGTTTTGGCAGCTGTACCTTGGCTGCCTCTTCTGTGGGGTGGGTGGGAGGAGATCTGGGGTCGTATTTCCTTCTTGGCTCTTCTGCTAACCTTATTCTTTGTGAAGAACAACGGGGAGAAATAAGTGGAAGGTAGCAGTGTGTGGCAACTTCCTTGGGCTCCCGCCACTGTCTTGGAACTCACAGCCTCTCAGTAAGGGCCACAATGATTTTGGAGCCGCTGTGACTTGCCCTTTCTGTGGAGGTGGCAGTCATGTTTCTGACAGCAAACGTGGAGAAAAAGAGAAACAAATCAAGGGAAAGAGGGGGAAAACCCAGCCCGCATTTCAGGTAGTCCCCTTGTTTTGACTTAGCGTACCTCTGGAGAGTTGACAGACCCTCTTCATTGCATCTAAGCACCTGCAATTCTCCTTCCTGGTGTTTTAAAAAATAGTTCCCAAATTAGAAAGGAATTACAGGGGCCCTTACTGGTTTTGACTGGTGCATGACCCAGTAATTATAAAATGTTCTTCGCAGGAAGATCGTCTTGAGCAATCCAGAGAAGAGGAACGCGCTGTCGCTGGCAATGCTGAAATCTCTCCAAAGTGACATTCTTCACGAAGCTGAGAGCAAAGATCTGAAAGTCATTGTCATTTCAGGTATTTATCTGATATCCATCCTCAGTCTTCTGCAGTACCCAGAAAAGAGTTCTCAAAATGCTTCGGTTAACTGGGGCATTCCCTCACTTAACGGGAGAATTGTGTTGAAGCTCCTTTACAAGAACACTAATTATGGAAAACTCATGTGTAGTGGGAGCCTTGGTCCTAACGCTATTAACTGTGGAAATTATAGTCAAGATTACTGTGCAGTGAAAATACGTGTCTTTTCCTTTTTGTCAGATATGAAACATTGCCACACTTGGCTGTGATGGTCTGCCCATCAAAATCAGAGAATTGACTTCCTCGTGGACCTGATAAGATGGGTTGAATCCTTTAGGTAGACTACCTAGTCCGCTAGGACCAGGCTGCTAGGGCATTTGATAGATTTGTCTTTCTGTTCTTATCAAGCTTTCAACTGATATCTACGGTCTTCTTCAGTGGTGCCATATTTTGCTTATTTCTTTCCAGGCTCTTTTTCCAGTAGGAATTTTTACCAAATTATCTGGTGATGATGTGGGTGGTCTAAATAATAGTGGTCAGTATTTTATTTGTTTGTTTATTTTTTTTGGTGAGGAAGATTAGCCCTGAGCTAACATCTGTTGCCAGTCCTCCTCTTTTTGCTGAGGACGATTGGCCCTGTGCTAACATCTGTGCCCATCTTCCTCTATTTTATATGTGGGACACCTGCCATAGCGTGGCTTGACAAGTGGTGCATAGGTCTGCGTCCGGAATCCAAACCTGTGAACTCCGGGCCACTGAAGCACAGCGTGTGAACTTAACCACTGTGCCACCTGGCCAGCCCCGAAATGTCGGTATTTTAAAGGAGCCACAAAAAATAAAATGGATGATGCTCTGTGATGCCCTTTTTTTTTTTTTTTTTTTGAAATTAAGGATCAGTGTTTCTGGAGAATGTTACCTTCTTATCAATGGTTGAATATAGATTTTCAACTGTTTCATGTAGCGAAGGGAAAACAACTGTAGGGTCCAGCAGACATGGGGGTATGACCCAGATGCAGCAAAGGCAGCCGGCTTCTGAACGACACAATTTCCACACTTGTTCAAAGGGAATAATATTGCCTGTCAAAACAGCCACCAGAAAAGGAAAATATGAGAAAGTGTTATCAGCTTATCAGTGGAATTACATTTTGTAGTTCTTCTGAATGACAACAATAACACTAAAACGACATCCTCAGATCCCTCGTTTGTAAAAAAAGGGGGTTCTGTTCACTCTCTACCTTCTCCAGTGCTAACCCCCATGGGTGGCCGTTGTCTAGAGACTCAATGACAGAGACACTAGAAGGCGCAGTGGGTTTCGATGGCCTTGTGTGAGTGGATACACTCAGGCCAGACCAAGTCCGGAAACAGAAGTGTGAGAGCAGAGGGACAGCTCTGAAAACAAGTCATGCCTCTGCTTGCTGAGGCTTCTCCTATCTGTGCTTGAATGTTTTCATGCATTTCCACCACGGACCTTTTAGCGGACAGATGCCTCCCTTGTGTTGTCATCATGACATACTGGCTATAACTCTTCAGGCAAACTGGAATTATTCTTATCAAAATTAGGCCTTTAACTTTCTCTCAGTGTCCACAGCATCGCTACAGTTGTTCGCTAAAGTTATTCAGTAGACAAGTAAGTGAACTTCCCAGCTCTGGCTGTTTACATCTTTTTATTTTCTTTTCTCAACTGGAAACATTTGCAGCTGAGGGGCCTGTATTTTCTTCTGGGCATGACTTAAAGGAACTGACGGATGAGCAAGGCCCAGATTATCATGCTGAAGTGTTTCGAACCTGTTCTGAGGTAAGCCAGGGTGAAGGTCGACATTGCAAGCCTGAAAATGATAGTTGTGTTAAATATTGAATTAAGCTTCTAGTTCAGATGAGGTTTTATCTATGAGACCTACCACGGCAGAAACACTGACACATCTGTGGTCATTGTGAATCCTTCATCCGAGCAACTCTTTGGTTTAGACTTCTAAGAAGTAACCATAGTTTGCTGTTGATCTTGTTATATGCCAAAGAAAATAAAATATACGCTGCTACTAATAGTGCCACATCAAGCATTAAGGGGGTTTGTCTTGGTATACACATAAGTAAGAGGTAAAGGATGGAAATGTACATCTTTAGAGAGGAAGAACCTAAGATTATTATAATTTTTAAAATTTTAAAACAGCTCTGTTAATGGGCAAGAGAGAACATTCATAAATGGAATAAAT